GGGGGTGTTTATTTGAAATCAAATTTCAATAAAAAATCAACAGGGCCTATTGTATTCCTCGCGCATACAGAAGATCTGACTCTGACAGAGTCTACTTTGTAGACTTTTCATTGAGCGTAAATCACGGTTGTTTTCATCCCAGGAACCGGGCTCTGATCTAAAATAAAATCTAACGTATTTGACATCGGAGGATTGTTATCAAATTGTACCGAAATGACAGCTTTTGTTTCTCAGTGAGGGGGGGGGGGGAGGAATCTGCCTTTCACATTATGAAATAAGTTGACGAAACTTTCTGTAATGTGCTGTGGCTGTTAAAATGTGGGCAGTGTAAATCTAGCAGCTAATCTAAATGAGCTCTTACGCACGAGTACTTTAGGTCTAGAGACAAGGACTGAATGGCTAATTAAGACTCTTGACGCTATGGCACGTTTCCTTTGTTCCGTTTTTCTATTATATTATTTACCCCAAGTACGCTGGTGATCTCTCTTACGTGGTTATGTGGTATTAATGATGGCCTTTTGTATCTGACCGTTGACAGGCTCTTAAGGAGAGGCTTTGTCAGTACGTTTGAAATCAAAGAATGTGTAAGGGTGCATAATATGATGTAGATACCTGTAAATAAATTAATCATTTTAAACTTTAAAATCATATGTGTGTGTTTTCAGAATCATTTTATTTAATTTTAGAAAAGTAAACTAGACACACCATACTTTAGTTATATGAATTAAGTTATCTAAAATCTAAGTTGATCTAGTGTTAGTTCATAATATTATATTTGCGCTTTATCACGTGTGAATTCTTTTTTTTTTTTTGTCTTGGAAAGGTTTAAAACTACGAATCAGCCTCGCTGCTTAGCACTTAGTCTAGCTCTATGCTACTTTAAGTTTGGACAAATAATGGAGACAGGGTCATCTTCTTCTTCTACAAGCGCCAGATCTAAAACAGACATGTTCAGTTATCGTTTGCAGGACATCCTATCTTCGATAAGCTCAAGAAAACCTATTTTACTTGTCCTAGTCTTTCCCCGTTACTCATCTGAATCTGTTTACGTTCTGTTAGTATTTTTTCTGTCTACCTCTGTTTGTTTTGCCATCTATTTTCCTAATTTGAGTGAAATAAAATCGAAAGCCCTTTTAACAATCCGAGTCCTCTATAAGCTGACAGGTTAGAGTAGGTGAATTTAAGAGGAAAAAAGATATCAAGAGAAATTCTGTGAGCTAATGACTCCAATTTGTTTCTGTATTATTTGCCCAGTTAGCTCCAGTTTCAGTGCTATGTTGGTCTCAGGAAAACTATTGCCTACTAACCAAATGATATTATGATGACGCTGATATATCGTTTTCTGTACTTTTACTTTGTGGGTATGAGGGTGTATGTGTGTGTGTGTGTGTGTGTGTGTCTGTGTGTGTGTGTGTGTGTGTGTGTGTGTGTGTGTGTGTGTGTCTGTGTCTGTGTGTTTGTGTGTTTGTGTGTGTGTGTTTCGTTCAGCTTTAACATTGGCACAAACAACAATGCCATTAATTTTGTAAACAAGCAGTTTCACTCTTTACCTGAACACAGAACACGATTTAAAGAAACAGTGAGATCAGTAAGTAGAATTTACGGAAATCCAACTTGAACATGAAAGTGATTGTCAGCAGATCTACCTCGGCATCGGTTTTAGAATAAAAACAAAAAAGAGTGGATCTTTCCATGTTTCATCATGTTTCTAATTTTCTTCAAATAAGATACTAACAGCTTTAGTAATATTATGATTGCAATGCGCAAACACATACTACACAATAATAAAATCCAAATCAAAGAAATTGTCCATTCTAAAACTACTTCAACTGATTGAAATTTTTGCTATTGTTTTTTTATGTTCTAATAACATAAATATTGTTACATAATATTTTCTTTAGGCACACCCACTTAGTCTTTACAAGATTTTATGAACGTTTTTGTATAGTCTTTTTTTCCATTTGAAATTTAACTGGCCTTTGTGTATCAATTCGGATCGTATTGTGTAATACTCACTTTATTCATGCATGGTATGTTTGTGTAAACGTATGTGTCAGTATGTGTTTGTGTGTGTGTGTGTGTGTGTGTGTGTGTGTGTGTGTGTGTGTGTGTGTGTGTGTGTGTGTGTTGAAAAAAGTCCGATACATCTAACATGAGTGTCGCATTGTAATGAAATCAAGCGCTCGCCAAACTAATGAAATCGCAGAAACAGACATTTTCCAGCTCACTGGGCAAACTAGATCTAGATCTAGTACCTTTCTTCAAGGAATCTTTAACACATTGTGTCCGTGCGACATTAATTGGAATCAGCTTTTGTAAGTCCAGTATTTTGCATGGATGCATTTTTCTAATTCTTTGAGATTTCAGACGTGATAGCCTGCTTTTTTGGCCTTCCGAGTTCTAAGGACATACGACGCAATGGCTACTTTCAGATATTCTATATCGACAGCATTTCTGTTTGATGAGCCTTTCTATAAAGTTTCGGGTCTGTGACAGGTCGGCCACTGATTACATTGTCCTCTATTTCATCAACATCTAGACGAGGGTGGTTTGCTATATTGGTTTGTCAGGATGACATCTTTTGAGTTTATCAGCACTCCTTGTCTGACGTCTGCTGAGTAAAGCAATTTCAACCCAATCATCAACCGCCATCAATGTAGTTTCAAACAGTATAATACAGGATGTTTTTAAGAAAGTTGAAGGATCGGGAACCCTGGAAGCTGGGAAACTTGTACTGGGTTTTTTTAAAGCTCAGCACGTTTTTTTTCATCTACAAAGAAAAGTCTCTAAGTGGAATTTTATTGGAAAAACGTTGATTAGGGGCACATGTATACATTTACACTTTCCAAACACACTCAAGCTTTGGAAGTCACCAAACTTTAGAAGCCATTTTTCTTGCTCAGTTTTCCTCTGACACCCAGCTCTTTCAGTCGCAAATATCTCTGTTTCTGATTTATTCAAGATATAATGAGTATTGTTTCCATCAAACGCAATAAAAATGAAAAAGCTTTAAGTTAAGTTTATTCGGTTAGATAAATCCACGTTCCCATAAATTGACGAGACCACCGCGTCGTGAAACAAGTCAAGTGTGAGGCATCGTGGTAAAGTCAGGTCCTCGTCAAAATCAGAAAATTAAAAAGAAACCCGGCATTTTTCTGATCATTTGGAATATTCTTCGATTTAAAAAAAAAAATTAAATTCTATACCTTTTAGGAGCATTTAAAAACAGATTTGTGTATAGATTTTACTGGAAAAACGTTCATCAGATGCACAAAAAGTAAATTTGCAGATTTCAAGAACACTGAAGCTTTGGAAGTCACAAAACTATGGCAGCCATTAACTCATTAATTTCTATCTCTCATACCAACCAACTCCACCCCCTTCAGTCGCAAATATTTTGATTTCTAATTTAGATAGATGGGTATTCATCATCATCATCCAGTGCCAGATCTGCCACAGGCGTAGGCAATCATGGTTTTCCATTCATTCCTTTGCTCGGATGCTCTAAAAAAAAGCTACGTTTCTCTGATCTTTCCCTGTTACCCACTTGTTTAGGTTCCCTAAGTATGTTGTTTGGGGCCTAATCCTGCCTCGCTTGCCCTCAATTTTGCCAGTGAGAGCTAGATATGTTCAAGACCCTTATGTCTATTCAGGTGTCCCAAAAACTGCATTTGTCGTTTCTCGATTGTAGATGGGTATTATTTAAATCAAAAGCAAGATAAACGAACACGCTTTAAGATGATACCAACAACTCCATATTCTGAAAAAAATGACGAGCGCCCGAGTTCACTGCGTCGTGACACCAAATCATATCATATTTTGTTTTGCTTTGAGGCTTTCAGACCAGCTCATTTGTAGGCCTACATTTCAATATAAAACAGTTGTATACCTTGCATCTTCAAAACTTTATTCATTTTGCTTATTAATATATTATGTTTAGATATCTATATTGCTTGAAGCTTAATAAAGGTTGTCATTATAACTCATAATTCCTCATATCAATATACTAAAAATATACGATTTTCGATTTTCTATGCTAATGCAATATTAACTATTTGACAGAAAAAAGAGTGAATTCTCACTATCAACTTCATTTTTCACAGCTATCGCTTACTATATACCAGAGCAATATTTATGTAGTATCTTAGCATGGCTGCCAAACGTGGCAGTGCAAAATACAAAGTTCAAATATATTGGAATACTCATTTTCCCAAAATTACAATGTTTGAACCTGCGTTGTTTTTTGTGTTTGTGTGTGTGTGTGTGTGTGTGTGTGTGTGTGTGTGTGTGTGTGTATATATATATATATATATATATGTGTGTGTGTGTGTGTGTGTGTGTGTGTGTGTGTGTGTGTGTGTGTGTGTGTGTGTGTGTGTGTGTGTGTGTTTGAGGGTTTTTTTAATTTAAAAAAATTAATGTTAGTGTTTTTATGCACCCATCGTTAGAAATCTAGATCGGTTGTGAGGCGGGCTCCCGACCTTGCCTGTCAACGCCAACCCGGGGTGAGAGGAATACAATACCCCTGCAGACAGACGGAGAAACTGAATAAAGATTTCTCTTCGATTGGCAATGGAACTCGGGTCTCCTTCGTGCGACAGCGAAGGGCAGACTCTGCTGGATACGGTTGTACAGTATACAAAAATTACAAAGCTATTATTTCAGCAGGATTCTACGCCGTCTTTTCTGGTGTACCGTTTAGATTCTTTGTTGTAAAAGAAGAAGAAGAAGAAGAAGAAGAAGAAGAAGAAGAAGAAGAAGAAGAAGAAGAAGAAGAAGAACAACAACAACAACAACAACAACAACAACAACAACAACAACAACAAGGACAAGAAGAACAAGAAGAACAAGAACAAGAACAAGAACAAGAACAAGAACAA